TTTACAATATGGTGTCCCACGGGGATCTGTGCATGGCCCACTACTGTTCTTATTGTAGATGGCATTATACTGCAAGATGCCCTTAACAATGTTATTCTTGCAGATATATATGACACTCATATTTATACTACCTGTAAAAGAAATCACTCTCAATAGAGGAATGCATAACTGACATACGTGATTGAATGAGGACGAACATATTAGCATTCAGTGATGGCAAGAGGGAATTATTATGGCTGACATCAAAGTTTTAGAAAAACAACAAAATTTAGAATTTGCAAATCAGCATTGTACATGTATTCACTGGCGAATTAGAAATATAAGCAACTTACTGGACAAAATACAATTGAGAAACTAGTATACATGCTTTCATTACTTCTAAACTAGATTTAACCAAACATCATCTGAAAAAACTGCAATTAATTCAAAATTCTGCAGCCAGGCTGGTAACAAAAATGAAAGTGAACAATCTAATACATGTCACCCCTGTATTAATACATGTAAACTCTAAACGTTCATTGGCTTCCCATAAGATAGGTTATTTAATTTAAAGTTTTATGTGAATTTTTTAAAAGCTGTTACAGAAAGAAACACTTTACATCTCAGAACTCATTAAGTCACGTCAGCAGGGACGGGCTACTAGGTCTTCAACTTTTAGCCATTTACTCTTATAACATGCTGTTTTAGAGAAAAAAATAATCTGGTAAATTTTACCGATAAAGGGCTTTAATGATATATGCAACAAAGCTCTGGAACAGCTTACCCGCTGAAGTTAGAGCGTAGGGTGACATAGAAATTAAAGTAGGCTTTTTAAGACTTGTAAATTAATAAGAGCGAATTTTTAATAATCAAACAGTTTTAATCTTTAAAGATATTAGCATTCTTAATTGGCAATGTTTAACTCTTAAACTTAAGATTTTATGTTATTAATAATCTATATCTGTAATTTTATAATTGAGTTTTAATTTGCCATTTTAAACGTTGCCATTTTATGGAATGTAATATTTAGCTTTTTGTAAGGCGCAATATATATTTTGGAACAAAATATTTATGGAACAGCTACGTTTTGCTCTTGTCGCAGATCGTTGGGTGCTGGTAGAGCTTTGAGGGATTCTCACTCGACGTAGTTATGGCCTAGTTTATTCTGTGTCTAGTTATGGCCTAGTTTATTCTGTTTATTCTGTGTCTTGCGCTTTTGCCTATGATTTTCTGTCTGCGTTTTGCTTGTTAGTCAGTTTCAATAAGTCAAGTAATTATTCTATAACGATTTTAATTGATAGAATAATTGAAAACAAAACTTACCGCAAACTTGACCGTCTGCATAAAATCCTGACATCAATAAAATCACTAATTTTATGAAAATCTTGTAGAGCACGTTATAGCTGCAATATCCCATTGTAACTTTCAGTAAAGTCTCATTCCTCTTTCTTCCCTTTTATACTTTTTCTTGTCATTTATGGAATTGCCCAAAAAACTGAGAACTCCGTGAGCAGCATGCAGGTCTGCATGTGTATTTCTTTTTATGCACTGTCACGATTATAAAAACAGAACGGATTCCCAATTGCATATGTTGAAGCAAGGCTTTGTGTAAAAATCGGGCAGCTGAGCTGTGATATCGTCAATCTACAGAGTGGTCGGACATTTTGACGTGTGAACCACTGCAAATTATAGAATGTCCTGTGAAAGGTATGTTGACTGCTTACTAAGTGACGTCATTCAGGTAGATGTGTTTTTGAAAGCTAAAATGGCTTTCGTCCTACTGCTTAACCTGTGGAAGTTGCCGCCCCCAGAAGGTGAGAATCGGATGCTTTATGATGGTATCATAACGCACATGCCAATCACTGTAACAGCATAACAAAAATATGCTCTGGTTCTCAAGGAAACTGTTGGCGTATTGATTGTTGTTTGGTTGTTAGGAAGATATGTGTTAATGAAAACCAAAATGCCGCTCGTCCTATTGTTTAATTAGTGGAAGTTGCCGCCCTTAGAAGGTAAACTGCGATTGATTTATGATGATAGCACGACGCATAAATCGTGAAAAAGTAAATATCTGTAACAACGTGACAACCGTGATCTGACTTTATCGGGGGAACTGTTGGCGCATTGATTGTGACTCGGATTCGAGAAGTTAAAAAGGTTAAACAGGCGGAACGCAGGAAAAAAAGAAATGAAAACAAATAACTAGGAAATATAAATAAAGATGAAAACCGACACTCGTGATGACACACACACACACACACACACACACACACGTGGGCAAACCTGGCCACGGTTTCGCAGAAAAATTTAGGCAATTCCAGTGGCTAACATCTTTGTTACCTAAGATACATCTGATCCTATCAGGAACAGTCTTACACCCTTGTAAAAAAAGCCAGAGAACTGACTCACTTTTTTTTTCTTTTTTTTT